CATGAGTTTGCCTTGGCCAGAACTGGGGTTTGGGATGTGGTGTATGTTCAAAGAGAAACAGTGGTGGTGGTGTGTTGGGTTGCGAATTAGCTAGAAAGAGGCAGGTGATCAGGAGAGGGAATAGGTGGATGGGATCGGGTTGAGACGGGTGAATTAAAAGGTGAAGGAACGGGGATTGGCGGCTTAGATGGCTAGAGAAAGGGGAAGCTTTTAAATGTTCATCTTATTCGATGATAATTGAATGTAGTGTGTTTAGGTATGTTCTACAATACAAGAAGCAATTGTAATTAGGTTTAGATTCCAGGTATAACTGAGATTATATTCTTAAACACATATCTAACACTGGAAGTGAAACAGTTGCTGCTTTACTTTTCTCAACTTAATTTGATTGAGATTTGTAACATTTCTATGTTGGCTAATTAAATTTGCACTAGATAATTTTCCTTAACAAATTTAAAGGAAACTAGTAAGATCTTATCTTAGTAACTTCTGACTTGGCTGGTCAACTGATTTGCTGTGACTGGGGTAGTTGTAGAATAGAGTACATCTCTTTTAGCCTGACATATTACATTTGTCAGGCCTATTTGTGGGCTTTGTTCATAATTTAGAGAGCTTATACATATCTATCACAATCATTTTGTTGAAATATCCATTTATGATGTGGTACAAACAAGTCGACAACCATTAAGACCTCTACATGTTATGTACTCTAGGATCAGCTTTTTTAGCAGTTTTTCTGTCTTGACAGGATGGAGATTATGATTATTGCAGGCTTTTAATTACTTTTTGGTCACACAATTATAGTCAAATGTATTGGTAGATATTGTGGTTGAAGAATTCCTTTATAATTGTAAATGTAAGACCAGACAAAAGAAGTTGCAATTGTATGTTGATATGGATGGCATCCTGGTTGATCTACTTGGTGGGACAGGCTTTTCAATTTTTGTTTGATACTTTTCAAATGTGTATGTATGGTAACTGCCTGATATTAGCCTACCTTTTCTCTAGCTTCTCCAGGAACCATAGATGAGTTTTTTTGTCTTACATCATATTTTCTCCATTACTCTTACTCAATATCATGGTTCTAATTTGCATTGAAGCCAGTGTTAATTTCTTTGCTTTCTCCTTCCTGTATCAGTGTATAAACAATGTATGAATGAACTTCCTAAGTTTTTTCTTTTTTTTTTCTACTTGCAGGCAAGTATACAAGGCTACAGAAATTCAAACTGGGGAAACTGTTGCTTTAAAGAAAATTAGAATGGAGAATGAAAAGGAAGGGGTATGCATTCTGGCTACAAACAATCTATGTTGACTATTTGAAATATCATTATGCATTAAGTAGCAATTCTCAGTGCTTAATCTACAAGATGTGTAATTCATTTTATTGACTTTCCAGTTTCCAATCACTGCCATACGTGAAATCAAAATTCTGCAGAAGCTGCAACATGAAAATGTAGTCAAATTAAAAGAGATTGTGGCTTCTCCAGGTGAGATATATTGGCTGTCAACAGTATTCCTGTCACCTAAATATATGTTGGATAATTATTATTCATACGTGGATCGATCATTTTCTCATGGTATGTTTTTTCTCAGGTCAAGAGAAAGATGAGCAAGGGAGGCCAGGCAAGTATATGTGGCAGTGCCTTGTATTTTTCATATTTTGGCGCCCACATTATAACATTATTCATTATTTTTGTCTAAATGGAATTTGTGTGCTTCCTCTGTTAACTATCTATATGAAGGTGGCATTTACATGGTCTTTGAGTACATGGATCATGATTTAGCTGGCCTTGCGCGTTGTGCTTCGATATTTTCTGTTCCACAGATCAAGGTTAGGTATCCTTCTCAAAATATTAATTAAAAGAGTATGTGATTTTTTAAACAACTATCTAGTGATGTTTTTTTTTTTTTTTTTGAACTACAGTGCTATATGAGGCAGCTTTTGATGGGACTTCACTATTGTCATGTGAACAAAGTACTGCATCGTGATATAAAAGGTTTCAATGAAGCAGATATTCTCTGTTTTCCTGATTGGTACTGCACGTATACGTGGATTAATATTGATAATTATGCTGTTTTGTTTGTAATGCCAGGTGCAAATCTTCTTATAGACAACAAGGGAACTTTGAAGCTTGCAGATTTTGGCCTTGCTCGGTTTTTTGCAAATGAGCATAATGGAAATCTTACCAATCGTGTCATTACCCTGTGGTATAGGTATCTATTTGATTCGTTGAATAATGATTGTATCTCTTAGTAAATTTTGTTTATATACAAAGTCAAAATTCATGTGGTTTCTTTCAGAATTCTATTCTAGATCAATTGCTGATGTATGTTAACTGTTGCAGACCTCCTGAGCTGCTACTTGGCAGCACTAAGTATGGTCCTGCTGTTGATATGTGGTCAGTAGGCTGTATCTTTGCAGAGCTTCTGGATGGGAAACCTTTATTTTCTGGGAAAGATGAGGTAAAGAAGCCCTTTTCTCACTTACAAATGAATATATAAGTAAAATCTATCACTTACCAGAAATAGAGGGAGCTTGAGGATTGAAATAGAGTGTTTCTATTCCTAGATATTTAGATTAGTCTCTTGCTTTGTTAAGGAGCTATTCTTGACTGCAAGGACAAACTTTAACTTGAGTGCACTGCAGCATTATGATGCATGCACCATGCTGTTTCCACCATTCAATATGGTACTTTTAGTCCTGAGATGCAAACCTATGAGATATTTGGGGGCCTGCTTCCTTGTAATATTTGCTAATCATTGAATTCTATGTTTTTGTTATTTTGTGCTTTGGGATATTTTAGCCAGAGCAAATAAGTAAGATCTTTGAGCTGTGTGGAGCGCCAGATGACTCTAATTGGCCTGGGGTCACAAAACTACCTTGGTATAGCAATTTCAAACCAAATAGGCCTTTGAAGAAGCGCCTTCGGGATCATTTTAGACTGTAAGTTTGGGTGTTGCAAAAATTGTGAATAAACTTGTTAACATAAATATAACACTAGTTTTCTTTGTGGTAGCCTTGATCGCCATGCTTTGGAGTTGCTGGAGAAGATGCTGATTCTTGATCCTGCACAGGTATGAAAATGCGGGTTACTTTCATTTACAATTGGTTGGTTATTGCTTTTTATGATTTTTCCCTGTAGAAGGAATTAAAACGTGATAAGAGCTGGTTACAATGACCTTGTATTATTTATTATTATTTGTTTATAACCTGTTAGTTGCTTCATTTCATCGTTTCGAGTTTGTTTAACAACGATTAACAAGACAATCATTCATTTTTATTCTTTATTCCACATTTTTAATTCTCTAGTTGGTGTTGATACAGAGGATCTCTACCAGAGATGCACTTGATGCTGAGTATTTTTGGACTGATCCTTTGCCTTGTGATCCTAAGAGGTTCCTTTCCTCCTTCGTGTGAAAATTTTCAGCATTTGCACATAAAAGTTATGCTAAAATGGGTTTTACTCCCTGCTATTTTAGTTCCTTACTAAGCACAACTCTTTTGTGAAACAGTTTACCAAAATATGAATCATCACATGAATACCAGACAAAGCAGAAACGTCAAAAGCAAAGACAGCACGAGGAAGCCGCAAAACGTCAGAAACTGCAGCATCCCCCTCTATATACTCGTGCGCCCATTCAGTCTGGTCAAGCCCATGGTCAGATGCAAGCTGGTCCTAATCAGCCCATGCATGGCTCTCAACATTCTGTTCCTTCTGGGCCTGGCCATCATGGGAAGCCACGAGGACCCTCTAGATATGCGCAGGGTGGAAATCCTAGTGGGGGACGTAATCGTCCTAACCGTGGAAATCAAGGTGGTGATAGAGGCTATGGCAGTGGCCCGTACATGCAACATGGACGAGGCCAAGGATATGGTCCAAGTAGCATGCCAGTTGCCGGCCCACGAGGTGGTGCTTCAGGTGGTTATGATGGTGGACGAAATTACCAGCAAGGTGGTCCTTATGATGGTTCCGGTGCTGGCCGAGGATCAAACATGATGGGCAGGAAACATAATCAGCCGCATGGTTGGCAGCAGTAATCTTACAGTCTCAACAGGAAACAGAATTGTAGGCTTTGCAATGAGCAGAGCTGCCGTGTTTTGCTAGCAAATACTCTGGTGACTGATTGTAATGACAACCCCTGCAACTTCAGTGAAGCTGAGATGTAGTCTGGTAAAAAAATTTGCAGGAGCTTTTTGTGACTGATGTACGGTGTAGGTTATGTTGCACAATCAGGGAGTTCTGGAGTATATGTTGTCATGTTGATGTATTAATAATTCTCTTTTTGGTTAATGAGCTTTATGTGAGAAGATCCATGCCGTTATGCATCCCTGCTGACTTTACTGAGTAGCCTCACCATAATCTTACTGTTTTAATAAATTTGTTTTTTTTTTTTTTTTTTTTTTTTTGGTGTTTAGAGAGCTACAAGGACGAGTGATGAGAAAGTAGTGGTCATAACTAAAATTCATACTAAGTATAACATAAAATATAGTGGCGGAAATGGTCTATGAAAGCAGCATAAAGTCTAGTTTGTACAAGGCATCTGACTGATTAAAGTGATATTTGCATTGCATAAGTTTGGTTCCATATGATCCTAGTTAGTTCTTACGCTAATCATTCTCGAATTTTTGCATTCTAGAGCTATATGATTAATTTTGAGTGTGAAATTTAAGATTCGGAGTAAAGTTTTAGTACATCTTTATTATATGTATTTAGGCTTCGAGTTAAGCTGTTAAAAGAGAAGGTTTAATAGTAGTTTGAGGGCACATTTATAGGGAATTTGAGCTTATAGTCGAACTCGAGTTGTGGCTTGAAGTAACAATATAGGACTAGTAGTCTTGATTGAGTGTCCTATTATTAATTCAAGCCATAGCAACTCGAGTTTTACTTGTTTGCGTTTATGTTTTTTTGAACAATAATCGAAAGTTCCAACACTAAACTTTGATCCTCTTATTAGAGTATTAAATCCAAACAAATAACACGTTTGATTGTAGACGACAAACTTGAATGAGGAGTCTCAAATAATCGAGCTAAAGATCGAAATTATTATACATCTCTTAGTTACAAAAGGATAGTTACAAAAGTAAGTTGCACAGTATTGATGATAATCAAGAGAAAGAATGAAAGATATGCAAAGTAAATATCTACTTTTAATTACGGAGTACATGCATTTTTTTGGGAAGGAATGATACAAATAAATGCATTATCAACACATGAAATACAAGATGATGATTATGCTGCCTCTACCCTCACCTATTCTTCATTATATCTTCTTCTTTAAACCCTTCTAACAACCTTTTCCGGACGTATTTGTACCATTGCACCTCCCATGTTAATCGATCTAACTATATTACTATCTTCGAATTAGAAAAAATTAAAATCGATACAAAAGATTTAGAAATTTTTTTATCCTCACAATAACGTTGTTCGATAATGATTTAGTGTCACTTAAACCTTCGCCTCCAAAATTAGACAGCGATGTGAAAGAGGGTATGTATAGTCAACATGTACGTTAGTTGGTGTTACTGTAACAGGAAAAACAATTTCTACTAAAGATTGACGAATGAGATTAAAACGAATTAAGTAGAGGTTTATGGCGTGTAGGGTTTAGGCTTAGGCATATTTTTGACAATGCCACAAAGAACAGCATTATCAGGGATGTTGTATTCATCCCTGAGTACACGTTCGGGTGTAGGAACACTAATGTAGAGTTGTTGCCCTAAGTATGCCCTCTCCATACACTCGTTCCTTACGTTCCACATCCCTACGTTGTCGAATGTCAACAATATTGCTGCCCATGATTTTGGGTATACTTGTATGTTGTACTTGCTTACTGCATCCAATAAGTTGTAGTTCTTTCTTTTCTCTGGAGTCCATGTTCCTACTTCAATCCTGTTATCATTTCAATAGTATCGCGTCATTGTCTATTATTTACTGATAGAAAATACTCGTAAGAATATAATGCAATACCACATGGCACGTGCAGAGATGCATGAAAAAACAAGTGAGTCGAACTTTTAAGAATATAATACATGTAATGAATACAAGTCATTTTAAGAGAAGATTTTTAAAATATGTTTGTGCATGCATGCACTTTTAATGCAGTGTATTATGAGACGGAGGAAGTATGTGATATGAAAACTTACGCGACAGGGAAAAAGGAATATCCAGCCAAGTGAAAGGTCTGAACACTCTTCTCATGATTCTCAAAGATGACCTCGATAAAGTCCCTATGTTTGAAGTTGAGCACAATTGGTGCAAGGGTAATCTTGTCAAGTTGGTCAACATTTGCTGGTGGATCGTCGCCAATATTATCATACTTAAACACCTTATCAGCGGCTTCGTAGTACTCCGCCAGCTTCAAGGGTGTCACGGTATCAATGTGGGAGACACCGTTGACAGCATATCGAAGTTTGCCATCGATAGTGTTGGCCGTGGTTGCGAGCTTAACCGTACGAGTGATGTTGATTTGACCATAATGGAATGATCCTTGAGGGTTGGGCCTAGCTGCACTCGCAGTTAGGTTCCACCTGAAGGACCGGAATTGGTTCAAGGACCAAGCCCAGCCGGTGGGTGCCTCTGGTAGGGCGTTGGAAACCGGACCTTTACCGTTGGTGTATCGGATTTTTCCCGTGGCTTGGAGGTGGTACTTAGTAAACCTAGGGACAAAGGAAGACACAAGTGTAGATATTAAGATTTTTATGCATGTGAAATCCTGTTATGTACCCCCACAATGTTACTTGTTACATATATGTATTAAATTTCGGACTCAAAATCTTCTGTTCCATAATTTATGGCACGTATAATATGAAGGACTACTTCGTATTATACACTATACACTTCTTATTTATCGTGTTACCAAAATTAGTTGTGTATATAGATAAATCAAGGGTTTATGCAAACAACCTTTGAACTATAACATATTGTATGTAAATGTAAGGTTGAATGAATGTGACTCTTATACCTAGCGCGGTCCAAAATTTATCTTAATAATGGTAATTATTAGTTTACCTGACGGATGCAACCATGTAGTAGTCCTTGGGGTCTTGGTTAGCAGTGACAAGAACACCGAAACATTGGCCTAGATGAACATCGAGAGAGTCATACTCGTTTTGAACCGTGTGTGATCCCTCTAATTCAACAAGCTTCATTTTGTGACCTTGAATTCTAAAGTTAAGGGAATTCTTCAACCCTACATTGCAAATCCTATATTTGTATGTTTTTCCTGGCTTCATTGTGAAGAGAGGCTCCTCTTTTTCGTCACCCACCTTGCCTTGCTTCCCATTTATAAGGACACCGTCTGGCCTGCCAATAGACTTACCTTGATCCAAGGTCTTTCTAAGAGCTTTGTGGCTTTGTTTGTACCAATCGCCAATTAGTACTGTGTAGTCATCCTCGGGATCAGCATAAGGAACTGGGATGAGAAGACGGCTGTTTACTCTTAGCCCACCATACCCACCGGCTGCCTTTAGGAAGCCGGTGGTTGGGTAGTAGTAGTAGGAACCAATTTGATCTTTCACTTGGAATCGATACGTGTAGTTTGTGCCCGGTTGGATAGGGCACATTGTACCTGGTGTACCGTCTTGCCATGAGTTCTTTCTTTGTTGGATCCCAGCCCTATAACAATTTCAAAGGAGAAACATATATGTTAGAATATTAATTATTTAATTCAGTGCTTAGGCCGGCCAAACTAAACTTAAATCAATACGAGTCTTATTTGATCAATTTTATATTTAATTAGGTTGAAGGGAATTAGCGACGTGCTAAGATGAAATTACACACAAAAGAAAAATGAACCAAATTAAAGAAGATACATCATACATACCATGTAAATAATAATGGCTCGTCGAGTTGATTAAAAACATTGACAACGATGTTGTTGTTGGTGGTGGTATTCAAGTTCGGTCCTGGAAATTGGCCATTAATAAGAATAACTTGTTGAGGAACGCCTAGGGGAGAAAGTGTACCATACGTAACCTTCCAATCGAAGTACAAGTATGGATCCTCAGCTTGTGCTACCATTAATATCGAACATAATAGAAATGGTAAAGATGAGAAAATTATCGCTATTTTACCCATCTTTAAAAATTTCGAGAGATATAGATGATCACTCTAGGATAATAATGTTGAATTTTAATTAATCTTGTTCGATTGTTGACTTATTTATAAATATGAAAAATGGTAATTTGATTAGTGATGACAACAAGATATTCGTTAACTTGATAATGTCTGTTTTTAACTCCATGCATTTCATTTAGTAATGTTCCTAATATTACGTTCTCCCTTCCAATTTTTCTTCTATTTTGGGGTTTTTCAAACTTTTAATCTGTCCATTAATAATCATAGAATTTCTATAGTTGTCTAAAACTGTATTAGTCTGTAAAATTACAACCGAGTTTACATGAAATTATCATGTAATCTATCATAGATAAAATTAAAATTTGACGAAAAACTCAAATTAAAATTAATTTGACCAAAAACTTATAAATAACCATTATGTTATTTATGTATCATAAGAAGTATTTGCAAATTGTGTGAAATCATTAACATATAAATAATACTAAGTAGTAATCACTCCGATTAGATATACAAGTATGTAATATAATCAATCAATCACTAACTTAATACTAAAAGCGAAACAAGTGATGACACATGTCATCCACTAGTTAAAAATTTTCCCTCCAACTTATCTTTCCTCTTTTATTTGGTCGACCTTTCATAAAAAGTATTTATAGCCTATAAAATATTCACCTTCCACGTTAGCGATTAATATTTTTTCCATACTAACTTAAAGGAAATATTTTAATATGTAAATATTTTACATTAAATAATTTTTGTTATAAAAATTAGCATAAATAAGTAGTACATATATTCGGAGACCATAATTTTTTTTGAATATAATTGTTAAATTTACGTTGTACGGAGTAACTATATAAGTAATTTAGTAAAATTCGTGCATTGTACGGGACTTTAACTAGTTTCCTATATTTCCTTAGTCTCTTGTTTGAGATTAGTAGTCTTCACCCAATAAACTTTTTTTTTTTCTTTTTTTTTGGTGTCGCAATTTACTTGCTTTATTTTGTACATTTTTATCCAGGGTCTCACATTCACCTATCTACAAGTATTTATTATCTCCCTAGTTTTTGACGTGCATAAAGTTTTAAGTAATTGGGTATAAAACAACTAATTTGAGACAAAGGAAATTAAAAAATAAGGGTTTGTTCTTTTAAGATTATTTTCAGTTTAGCTGAGCTTCAATAAGTTCAGTTCAGTTCAGTTCTTAATTTCCTTCTATCATAAAATATTTAGTTCAGTTTAGTTCAGTCATTTCAGTCAATCAGACCAGGTCCCAAGTTTTCAATATACTGAGAAGTTTACGAATATCAAATGATGCTTAACTGAGTTGACGGCTTAGATTTAGAAAACTTCTACATTAATATTTTGAGTCAATGAAAGTGTTTATTTCTTCGTTTGATTGAGGCTATTTGCAAATAGGATTGAATTTAGAGCTGTCAATTCGGGTAAACAAGTCGAGTTTGGGTCGGGTAAGAGTGGGTCAGGTCAACTTGGGTTGGGTCAATTCGGATTAATTCCATAACATATGCGGGTCGGGTTTGGGTTGGGTCATGCTTGAGTCGAGTCACGTCGGGTCATACTTCTTATCGGGTTTGAGTCGGGTTTAGGTCGGGTTAATAACAGCTTGGGTTACATTCGGGTCGGATGAACAATAGGTCGAGTTTAATTCGGGTTTTCACGGGTTAAAACGGGTTAGGATAATTCTCGGGTTCGAGTCAGGTTCTGTTCAATTCAATAATTTGCGGGTTAGAATCAGGTCGGGTCATTCTCGGATTTGAGTCGGGTTTGGTCTAAGTCAATAATTTACAGATTATAATCAAGTCGGGTCATTTTCAAGTCGGGTCATTCTCGGATTCAAGTCGAGTTCAGTTCAAGTCAATAATTTGCGGGTTATAATAATCAGGTTGGGTCATTTTCAAGTCGGGTCATTCTCGAATTCAAGTTGGATTATGTTCAAGTCAATAATTTGCAGGTTACAATCAGGTCGGGTCATTTCCAAGTCAGGTCATTTTCGGGTTCAACTAACTATAAATAGATAATTATCATTTTTATCAAGCTAATTATTTCCTTTGACTATAATATATATGACAATATACTAGGGAACTATAGTCTATAATTTAGGAAGATAATTAACTCCTTCGATCATACAACAAATATATACTATATTTAACTCTTAAATTTGAGGATGATGTTCCTTTCTTTTGCTGGCCTGGACCGACTTGGTCTCCCTAGAAAAAATTCTTTGATCAACAATAATAAGGTGGTCTAAATTGCATTTAAGGTGATTTGAAATCGGGTCAAAAACAATTTGGGTTGAATTTAGGTCGGCTCAATAACAAGTCGTGTTAATTTCGAGTCGGGTTAGTAACATATCGGGTTGAATTTTTTGTTCGGGTAAGTAATATGTCTGGAAAAATTCGGATCGAGTCAATAACAAGTCGGGTTGATTTTGGGTCGGGTTTGTAACAGGTTGGGTTAAATTCGGGTCAAGTTAGAACGGGTCGGGTTGAATTCAGGTCAGGTTAGTAACAAGTCGGGTTAAATTAAGGATTATACGGGTTGAAATGAGTTTGGGTCAATTTCGGTTCAAGTCGGGTTCGTTGCAAGTTAATTAAATGGACGTTGTAAACCGGTAAATCGGTGCAAGTTGTAAACCGGTAAATTAGCCGTTTAAAAGCAAATTGACTGGTTCCAAAAACCCAATTGGACTACCGGAGGGTATTAGGGACCATGGTAAAAAATTCGGCAATTTTTATTTCGGGCAAAAAAAAGTCAAAAAAATCCAAAATTGAAGGTTAATATCCACGTTTTTTGAGAAATTTTGGAGATTTCAGGGCCCGGTGTCGAAAAGTGTTGAAATTCTATGGGATACATCTCGGGGTCATATAATTCCGTTTGAAACCATATATGATCATATTTGTTGTCATAAATGTTAGTGGTAGGCTTGAATTAATGAAATCGGTGCAAGTTGTAAACCGGTAAATTGGTCGTTTAAAGGAAAATTGGATGGTTCCACCCACCCAATTGGACCCCCGGAAGGTATTAGGGACCATGGTAAACATTTATGCAATTTTTAATTCCGGGCGAAAGAAAGTCGAAAAAATCCAAAATTGAAGACTAATATCCACGCTTTTTGAGAAATTTTGGAGGTTTCAGAGCCCAGTGTCGAAAAGTCTTGAAATTTTAAGGGATAGATCTCGGGGTCATATAATTTCGTATGGAATCATATATAATCATTATTTGTTGTCATAAATGTTCGTGGTAAGCTTGACTCGATGAAATTGGTGCAAGTTGTAAACTGGTAAATTGGTCGTTTAAATGCAAATTGGATGGTTCCGTCCACCCAATGGAACTCCCAAATAGTATAAGGGATCATGGTAAACATTTCGGCAATTTTAAATTTTCGGGCGAAAAAAGTCAAAAAATTCCAAAATTGAAGGTTATATCCACGCTTTTTGAGAAGTTTTGGAGGTTTCGCGGCACGGTGTCAAAAAGTCTTGAGATTTTAAGGAATACATCTCGGGGTCATATTATGACGTTTGGAACCGTATATGATCATTATATGTCGTCATAAATGTTCGTGGTAGGCTTGAGTTATAGAAATCGGTGCAAGTTGAAAATTGGTAAATTGGCTGTTTAAAGGACAATTGGATGGTTCCACCCACCCAATTGGACTCCCGGAGGGTATTAATGACCATGGTAAACATTTCGGCAATTTTTATTTCCAGGCGAAAAAAAGTCGAAAATTCCAAAATTTTAGGCTAATATCCACGTTTTTTGAGAAATTTCGAAGGTTTCGACGGTGTCGAAACGGCTCGAAAAATTAAGGGATACATCTAAGGGTCATATAATGCCGTTTGGAATCATATACAATCATTATTTGTTGTCATAAATGTTTGTGGTAGGCTTGAGTTAATGAAATCGAAGTAAGTTGTAAATCGGTAAATTGGACGTTTAAAGGCAAATTGGATGGTTCCATCCACCCAATTGGACTCTCGGAGGGTATTAGGGACCATGATAAACGTTTCAGCAATTTTTATTTTCAAGCGAAAAAAAGTCAAAAAAATCCAATATTGAAGGCTAATATCCACGTTTTTTGAGAAATTTTGGAGGTTTAAGGGCCCGGTGTCGAAAAATCTTGAAACTCTATGAGATACATCTCAGGGTCATATAATGCCGTTTGGAACCATATATATATGATCATTATTTGTTGTCATAAATGTTTGTGGTTGGCTTGAATTAATGAAATCGATGCAAGTTATAAACCGGTAAATTGGTCGTTTAAAGGACAATTGGATGGTTCTATCCACCCAATTGGACCCCCGGAAGGTATTAGGGACCATGGTAAACATTTCGGCAATTTTTAATTCCGGGCGAAAGAAAGTAAAAAAATTCCAAAATTGAAGACTCCACGCTTTTTGTGAAATTTTCGAGGTTTCAGAGCCCAGTGTCGAAAGGTCTTGAAATTTTAAGGGATACATCTCGGGGTCATATAATGTCGTATGGAACTATATGTAATCATTATTTGTTGTCATAAATATTTGTGGTAAGCTTGAGTTAATGAAATCGGTGCAAGTTGTAAACCGGTAAATTGGTCGTTTAAAGGCAAATTGGATGGTTCCACCCACCAAATTGGACTCCTAGAGGGTATTAGGAATCATGGTAAACATTTTGGAAATTTTTATTTCCAGACGAAAATAAGTCAAAAAAAATTCGAAATTGAAGGCTAATATCCACGTTTTTTTTTTTTGGAATTTCGAAGGTTTTTGGGATCGGTGTAGAAAAGTCTTGATATTTTAGGGGATTCATCTCGGGGTCATATAATGCCATTTGGAACCATATATGATCATTATATGTTGTCATAAATGTTCGTATAGTAGGCTTGAGTTAATGAAATTGGTGCAAGTTGTAAACTGATAAATTGGCCGTTTAAAGGCAAATTGGATAGTTTAACCCAGCCAATTGGACGAACGGAGGGTATTAGGGACCATGGTAAACATTTCGAAAATTTTTATTTCTGGGTGAAATTAAGTCAAAAAATTCCAAAATTGAAGGCTAATTTTTATCCACGCTTTTTGAGTAATTTTGGAGGT